CGCCTCCTGCTCCTCCCTCTGTGTCCCATCTGCCCTGCCTAGGCTGTTCAGTCAGCACCCCACAGTTAACGACGAGCTGCCCAACCGGATCCTGTCGGGGACCGTAGCGGTGAAGCCCAACGTGAGGGAGTTTCGGGGCTCCAGCGTCGTCTTTGAGGACGGCACTGTGGAGCAGGACGTCTACGCCGTCGTTTTCGCCACGGGATACCGCATCTCTTTCCCCTTCCTGCCGTCATTCGTTGTGTCCGTATCCGACAACAGGGTGTCTCTTTACAAGTACGTGTTCCCCCCAGCTCTGGAGCGCCCCACACTGGCCATTATCGGCCTGGTGCAGCCGCTGGGAGCCATCATGCCCATCTCTGAGATGCAGGCGCGTTGGGCCACACGCGTCTTCAAAGGTACTGTTGCGCCCACATGCACAGACTCGTGAACACACACACCTGGGACAGACTGGAGGACACACACACACACGCACACACACACACAGACTGGAGAACACACATACATACACATCCGGGACAGACTGGAGAACACACACACACACACCCGGCAAACACTGGAGAACACGCATACATACACACATCTGAGACAGACTGGAGAACGCACATACACACACATACCTGAGACCGACTGGGAAACACACACACACACACACACCCGGTAAACACTGGAGAACACGCATACATACACACATCTGAGACAGACTGGAGAACACACACACACACACCTGAGACCGACTGGGAAACACACACACACCTCAAGTGTGCAGAGCCTTGACAATGTGCACAAAACCTAACTGCTAACCGGAAAAGAATCAAGAAGAAGAATTAAAAACACAAGCAGTTATGGTGTAAAACAAGTTTCGGCTCAGCCAGAACCACCATTAGCGAGTCAGTCGATTTATGAGACCCAATGAGATGTGTAACTCTGACACTCCTGGAGTCCTGCTGTGCTGAAGTGATTTCCTGCACTGGACAACACTGGACCCTGTGTATCACTACAGTACTGAAATCATGCGTTTGATTAACAGGGCTAAATAAACTTCCCCCAGCGGACACTATGCAGAAGGACATTGAGAGGAAGAGTGAAAAAATGGCCAAAAGGTAAAATATCACATCAGGTTACTGTATTCCACATTCCTCTAGAGCCTCACTTTATTCCCAATGACGTGTCCTGTGGTCGTGATTATGTGGGAAGCAGAGGAGGCTTTGCTCGCAGTCGTAGGTAGCTCTCCACAACCCATTGGGCTTTCTGAGTCTGGGGTTCCCATGTGGCTAAAGCTGTAGAGAGTTCCTATCTGCACAGCCAAGTCTGAGCTCTGAGCTGGTGCTGGCTAGGGTGACCTCAGCTGCCTGCGCCACAGTGACCTGCTTGGCTCCCTGTGCCCTTGCGGGCTCAGTCTGCTGTGGCCACGGTGGCTCTGACAGCACACATCTGAGGGTAAAAGAAGCTCCTGATCCTCCTCCCCTCCTGCTCTGGAACACGAGGATACAGGGCTAACACCTGTTGTAATAACAGGAAATTCCAAATCCTGGAAACCCATGCTCGTGGCGGTGATTGAATTGTGATGTCTCCGCAGAGGAAGGATCCTGCAGTAGACAGTCCAATAAGGGTTCTTGCGCTTCGTGATGACACGGCATGCATCCCTCTCTGTTTGTAATTGTCCGTCGTGAATGAGTGTGTCTCGGTGTGTGTCCGTGCTGCTTGCAGTCAGCTGCTGCTGGAGGCCTGTGAACTTACCCAGGTGCTTCCTGTGCTCCCTGTGCAGGTATGTGGCCTCCCAGAGACACACCATCCAGGTCGACTACATGAGCTACATGGATGAAGTGGCCGGGCAGATCGGGGCGCGGCCCAGCCTGATGGGGCTGCTGCTGCGGGACCCCCGCCTGGGGCTGAGTGTGCTGCTGGGCCCCTGCACCCCGTACCAGT